CGGTTACACCTCAGTCATTATGGAAGTTCATATCATGATACAAAAAGACTGAGAATTTTAAAAAACATATCATCAACCAACTGCCAAAAAGTAGCCCCAAAATAGCAGCTTTAGATCTTCTATAGTCAAAAATAATGACAACAAACAATCATCTTAGAACACACTTCTTGACATCACGTTCATAAAATCTTATTCTCTTCCATCAAAGAACTTCGAGCTTTATTTCGTAGCACTGGTTTGATTTGTTGTAATGGAAGAATTCAAACTCAATTTTCAGTGAAAGATCAATCAAGTTTCTGAATGGAATCCAATTCAACTGCCAATGTCCCAAATAGTTTCTTTGAGTGCGTCTGCTCTGCAAGCAGAAGATATAAATACCCTCTAAATCAACCCTAATGACACCACCGAGAGGACCAGACTAGTTCTGCAACAATGTAATTAATAATGGCCTCTCATTGGTTTGTTCACTCATCCAGGTATTGGGAGCATTGCAACAGCTCACGATATTTTACCTCGGAACACAGAATGTGATCAATTGTGGTGGAATCAATAAGAACAACTTCCGTTCATCATCAATCCATCTGAAACAACCAAACTTTCTGCCAAAACGGGCCATAAAATTCAGTCTGCTTGATCACAATCCCATGTTTTATCACCACTAAAGCAGCTTAGCGAGTCAAGTTGTTTTTCAGCTGAAGCCTGATCAATGATCGCAATTTTGTCTTTCATCAGTCAGAATCTCAAAGTTCCGTTTTACATCACACATCAACAGTGATGAGACTGATATGGGCTGAAAGTTTGACATTTTATTACTTGTGTGGTTTGTCTACTGGGTAAAAAATCAATTACAGGCGAAGAAATAATCCAACACAAAAACATGAGCATTGCAAGAAATTGTGGAATAACCTTAAGATCTGTCAATGTGAATGACAAAATATTGTCTAAATGTTTAAACATCACAATAGATTTGACAGCAGACAAAAATCAAATCGAACTGAAAGAGTGTTTATTGTTTTCATTCTGCCCAGCTATTTACAAACTTTTAAACATTGTTCCATAACAGCAGATGTCATTCTTCCATGAGTGTTAGCGCTTGTACATTGATTTTTTAAACACTTTTTTTAGCATTCATCAGTAGCAGTACTCATCAGAAAGTTCATTTACTTTTTCCAATTTTGTGATTCAATTTCTAAAAACAGAAGTGGCCACATAAAAAAAATGTACACATGAAATGGTGATGAAACTATCCCTCTTGTCTGGAAACAATTTAATTTTTGTCAAAACAGGAAAAGAAAAATATCAGTCATGCAAACTCTCATTTTGCGGCCTCTTCTGCAAAGCAGCTTTGGTGAGTGAATCATAACAGCCATGGCAGGCAGCCATGTTTTAACTCAGACAATACAACCATTCTATAAAACACGTATCACCCTCTCACTCAGACAGACTGCCATTACACAATGCTTTGTACTTCTCAAATACTCTCTGACCCAAAGCATGCCGCCAAAGAGCTCCAAAAGAATTTGAAAGTCAACACTTTCAGACATTTATGTTTACAAGCTGATCCATCTTTCTAGATGAACAAATATCAGAATCTCTGATAACTCGATGAGTACATTCACCTTTCACTTCTGCTGTTACATGCAGATACTCTGAGTGAACATGTCCCACAGAAAATAGCATTAAGCAAATGCTCGCTAAAAGCATCAGGCCATCTAAGATGATACGAGGTTGAGATCAGTGAAATTCAAAACTAACAGCAGTAAGCAGACTGCATCATTAGCTATTTATTTCGAACATCCTAATGGCTCAAACAAACGCCTACAGCATTGAAGATGTGGCTGCAAATGGAACCAGACAGCTCTTAGATATTATCCTACTCTTAACAAGCAATCCTTGCCAATTCTTCCCTCTGACTGGCAAAATTGAAAACTTTCTACAGAAAATATATCAAACTAAGAGATATAAAAAATTAATAAATTTAAGCATCTACAATATTTTCTCATTTTAACTTTAAGGAATATATTTTGTTCAGGCACTCTTTACCCTGGTGTTGATAATGTAACTTTCTGACTAACGATTCATGTAGACCACCATTTAACCAATACACAGGGTCTATTAGCAGGTTTTACATCCGACATTTATGGCCCAGTGTTACTGGAGGTGATACAGGAAATTATTAAAAAATAATTCTTGAAATAAGTGGAGCTGGATTGAAAACCACTGTAAAGCTCATTTGCCCACCTTAACTTTTGTTACATCATGAGTAAGTGAGTTAGTTTAGTTTTACGCCACACTCAGCAATATTCCAGCTGTATGGCGCGGTCTGTAAATAATTGAGTCTGGACCAGACAATCCAGTGAGCAACAACAGGATCATTGATCTGCTCAATTGGGAACCGATGACTTGCGTCAACCAAGCCAGCGAGCCTGACCACCTGATCCCGTTAGTCGCCTCTTTCTTGTAATAACATGAAACCCCATTAACATTTATATACATGGATATAGTCACGACTCCTAGCAAAACCCGGTCGTAAGTATTGAATGAGTATTTCTTAAGTTTCTTACAGTCCCGGATCACATTATTATGACCAGCCCTTAACTTACACTACAGATCGAAATGAAACAACTCCTGATTTTCCACGGATTCTTCTCCATCGGGCTTAATTTCAGTTTCAATGTAACTCTTAGTTTTCCATCAAAATTACATATTTTCATGAACAAAGGTAGACTAACACGTAATTTCTGAAAATTTATCATTTTGATATACAACAAAAGATTTGAAAAAGAGGAACTAATTTAAATTTGAGTGGAGCCTCAGAGAGGTATGAAATTCAGCCTGAACCTTAACTTGCTCAATTTAGCATTAGAGTGAGGGTTGGGTGGAAGGAAAAACAATGACTAACACTTAATTAATCTCAGAAGATATCTTTCGGATAAAAAGAAGTAACTCTATTAAACTGAAAATCAGCCCCAGTACACTCAGAGATTCCTGAGCCTGAGGAAACCTAGACTTGCTTCATCTAGAGCTTTTGCATTGCAGAAAGGGCAGGGAAAATAATGTGGTTCAAGGACAGTGAAACAGGCTAAGATTTATCTGCTGCTCTGCTAAAGCAGTACCCCTGGAATATCCCAGCAGGGTGTGCAAACAAATGGGTTTCTCACATTGTACCCATGAGGGGAATGAGATCAGGACGAGACAAGTAAACACGTTAACGACCTGGCTACCAAATATCTATCAACCTTAGCTACCATGACACTCAACGTGCACACCATTCATTTTATATCAACCACATTTCTTCTTATAGTACTTCCTGAATTTTTATTTTCAGACCCCTTTAACAGATTCAAGATGTCTGCAAGAGCCATCTATGAAGTTACTCAGATGCCTTCAAATTAGGTACAGGCTCCCTCGGCACCGGAGCTATTTAGACAGGTGGCAACAGCACCACAGTGATAATAACATCTGTGGAAGTCCCTGCACACTGATGGGAGGTGATAAATCCCGAAGACTGACAGTCTCATTCGTGTCACCATCAGCTCAATCACACTGCCCAATACCTATGCCTAATTATGTCGCCTACTCATGGGATTGGTGAATGTCAGATGAGAGCTTAGGTTTAGTTTCTCGGTCACCTACTTCTGTTCCACTCTTGAGTCCTCATAAAGGAAACACTTCGATAATTTCCACAACAGGTTCATATCTATTTCTGTCACAGTTGTAGGGTTCAATGTTCCAATAACAGCTCACCTGTCCACTCAAATTTCACGGGATGGTTTATGAACACCTGTGAGTATTCCAGGTTCTCAAATAACCTATGCTGGATGCAGATATATGTCTGATTCTGTGTGATGGTATCTCAGCAATATGTGCTCATGACGTCAATCACTGGTATGTCTGGTTCGGTCTTCAGATCACCCTGTTATTGGTTCAGTAGTCAAATATTGGCAACCCCTAGTTTCATACCATCTAACTATATACGTAGTTCGGTGCTCCAAATAAGGGCCGCTCGGGCGCATAGATATAAAATATGCACGATACGGTAGGAAATAATTTAGAAAACGTAGCAGATACGCACCACAGCAATGGTGTACGGTCTTAGAATCATTTACAGACGTATTTATCTGAAAAATTATTGTTTTATTGTTTATTGACCTGTTTACACAAGAGTAGCAATGTTGTGGTGCATATATGAAACGAAACACAAGATTACTGATATTCCATTAAATTCCATTCAGTACTCTAAATGTACTCTCTTCAGGTTTTCCAGTACTCCTGTATTGAAAAAATAAGGAGAACATACTCTTGATGTTGAAAAGTTATCTGGAGCCCTGCGTAGTTATTAACAGATGTGGCAATTAGTGGTAATATTCATATCTTGGGGTTAAAATTAGTAACCTGGCCATAAGCAGGAGTGGCTATTCTATTACCATAGATGACCTATAACGTTGCAATCTGTAAACAGGACCAGCCAAAAGTATCTGACCAATATTTTACCAGCCGCATGACAGCAACCTGTAGATAATAAAGTCTGGGCCAAACAAACATGCTTGACATCACAATCATAGATGACATGCATCATCCAGGTCAGATCTTTAGAATATCTGACAAGTTTATCATACTGAAATCAGCAATGTGTCAAAATGACTGGCTAAGTTTTCCCCAGATTTCACAATATAATTCACTTTATAGTATTTAGCAAAATATTGTTATGACTCCGCCAATATATACAAGTTGGAATTTCTGTAATCTGTTCACTGGACTAAAACAGGTTTAACATTCACTGTAGTCTCTTGTCCAGTTTTAAACTCCACCAGTGGAACAAAACCATTCCCATTGTTCTAGGGGCTCTCTGCACAAACCTAATCAACAAGTCAATAAGCACAGCCCTGTTCTATAAAGTGATCTATGATCCACTGTAAGATAGTTACAATAGTCCAATTCTAAGGACACCTTTTGGGAACTTGGCCTCAACATTTAAAGAAATTTGTTGACAAGTTTACCTTGGCAGCTGCTCCTCGCACAGACATCGCTCGGTCTGTCATGGCCTGCCGGGCCGCCTTGTAGATGTCCTTGTGACAGGACCCTCCTGCAGACCCCAGGCCCGCCACCACCTTTTCCAAGGTCATCATGATCTCACATCGACCTTGAGACTGAAAAATGAGACAAAAATAATATATACTCTGCAAGGTTATTGATAATTCACATGATGCTCACTCTGATGCTCATTGGTGTAAACGAGCTGTAGCATTATCTACTCACATGAAACAAGAAGCAAAAAGTGTTATTTTCAAGATGGCTGCTATGGATGCCATTTTGAAATGCTCTTAATAAAGTTGAAGTGCATAATTACTGATAAACAACATAGCCGCCTTGGGCTTGTTCTAGATAGTATAGATGAGTGGTACATCCAGCTATATCCTGTAAGATGGTGTCAGTGAAATACGATCTCTTAAGAGCTGTGGCTATCATGGATCCACTAGGTTTGCCAATTGACAGTTGAAAAAACCATAAAAGACAAACAAAATAAACAAGAAGACAAAGTCATCAATATCCCCCGAAATGGCAAAATACTCTTCATGATTACGTCTACGAGTTATGATTATGTCAAACATTTAGGTGTGTATATAGAAAAGTGGAAGGAGAGTACTGAAAGGTTTTTAAAGCTCTGCTCCAGAAAGGAGCACTATCACCAATTTCTGTTTTAGTCAAACTTGTTGCCATGGAAATGCCAAAAATATTATATTCAGAATTCCAAAACTACCAAAAAGGAACCAGTACACCACCAGACCAATCTATGTGTCAAGTTTGGTAAAGAAATAGTGAATGGTTTTAGAGTTCAGCTCCGGAAAAGAGCACTACCACCAATTTCAGGCTAAGTCAAACTTGTTGCCATGGAAACGCCAAAAATATTTTATTCAGATTTCCAAAACTACCAAAAGGCACCAGTACACCACCAGATCTATCTATGTGCCAAGTTTGGTGAAGAAATATTGAACAGTTTTAGAGTTCTGCTCCGGAAAAGACAAATGTGCACGGACGGACGGATGCGGAAAAAGGCACGACGGACTGAGTCCATTTTAATACCCCCCAAAACGCGTTGCGGGGGATAAAAAATCCCAAAGTAAGCAGCAGACCATATGGCTGATAACTAAGGAAATACAAACAGTTCATTGGCTGCAATGTGTTGTCATGGAAACTGTAAAATGCAAACATTTCCAAAACGGCTGAATAGCAAATGGCTGTTATGGCTAAACTGACTTCTGTGCAAAGACTGATGAAGATATATTGAACAGTCTCTGACTTATGGATCGAACATAACTGATTATCTGAGCTGTATTGTGGTGATAAACAGCCATCCAAATTCAGCTCTGAATATTCTAAACACATTCCAACATCTAAAAGCAATGGCTCAGCATTCTTAACCAGAAAACCATCGTTAAACTTTTCTGGCAGTGACATTTTAGTGTTGGTTTATGGTATCTCTGAGAGCTCCTCATTAATCAATTATCTTGACCATAAACTCTCTTCTCTGGTACCAGATAACCACAGCAATAAAACTGCTATTTCCCTTCAACAACTTCTAGGAGGTGCTCATAGCGAAGATTTAGAATCATAGAATTACCAGATTTGTCCTTCCTTTGACGGCTAAATTATGAATATCTTCAAGAAATATGAGTAATGGTTATTACTTTGATGCAGAGGAAACTTAGAGAGAGTTCCTAATTGGCATAATCCGAGATGTTCAGGAAGGACCAGTGACATTTCCTGATGCATTTCCAGTTTTACCATTAGGTAGATGGCAAATAGTGACATTTTCTGGTTGACTACAACTTTTACCATTGGGTAGATGCAGCAGGACAAGTGACATCAGGATAATACAAATATTGTAAATATAGACTTGCTTACAGCTTTGTTGCACTATCCTGGCATATTTGCCCCTTACAAATGTATATCTTTTGCAGCACGAAGACTTGATCCAGTGGACTAGTCTTTCAAGAGCACTGTAGACTCAATCCAGTGGACTAGTCTTTCAAGAGCACTATAGACTCAATCCAGTGGACTAGTCTAGTCTTTCAAGAGCACTATAGACTCAATCAAATGGACTAGTCTCTTAAGAGCACTGAAGACTTGATCGAGTGGACTAGTCTTTCATGACCACTATAGACTCAATCCAGTGGACTAGTCTCTTAAGAGCACTGAAGACAGTCCAGTGGACTAGTCTTTCAAGAGCACTATAGACTCAATCCAGTGGACTAGTCTCTTAAGAGCACTGAAGACTTGATCCAGTGGACTAGTCTTTCAAAGAGAACTACAGACTCAATCCAGTGGACTAGTCTTTCAAAGAGCACTATAGACTCAATCCAGTGGACTAGTCTCTTAAGAGCACTGAAGACTTGATCAAGTCGACTAGTCTTTCAAGAGAAGTACAGACTCAATCCAGTGGACTAGTCTTTCAAGAGCACTATAGACTCAATCCAGTGGACTAGTCTTTCAAGAGCACTGTAGACTCAATCCAGTGGACTAGTCTTTCAAGAGCACTGAACACTCAATCCAGTGGACTAGTCTTTCAAGAGCACTGAACACTCAATCCAGCAGTCAAGCCTTACAAAACCCATTCAAATTCATTCATTTCAATTTGTAAAAGCTTCTTCAACAAGGACTTGTTCATGGTGTTAAAATACAAGGAAAATTTTACTAATACACATTGTATAATTCCCTGAGATAAAACAACATCTCAAAGTTTTACAACACCTGTGGTCAAAACATTAATCAAATCATGAAGCTTTGAAAACAGACAACCATTCCATTCGGCCTGAATAATGGCGTGCTAGTCTGCATTTCCTTACTTCATCAGTTTGCGTCATAACAAATCCAGCAAAAATGAATGGATGCCAACACACCAAATTATATCCGCACTTACTGACTGACATGTTGTGAAATGAAATTTAAACATGCACCAAGTCTGACAGTTCTTGAAACAATTAGATTAGAGCTTGCGGGGAGGAAACAGAGGTCTGAATCAAGCCTTTATTACTGAGATACAAACACGGAGGATATCGATCAGTTTGCCTAAGTAATGTAACATTATCAGGATTATTATTCATATTATTCCGTCATTCCATGAGTTGAGCAAATATGACTATTTGCCAAAGAAATCTATAAAAAGTGTTGGCCTAGCGTAAATATAATTATGTTTTTAAAAGAGTATAAATGTTTGTATAGCTGGGTAGGATTATAACCAAATGTTTTTGATGAGCAGGGTAATTGCGTGAATGAGTGTTGTTGTATGCTCAAGTCAGCTGTATTACTTGTACATCTTTGCAATGTGTAAAAGCTTTGATATGAGTGAGTGAGTGAGTTTGGTTTTACGCCACTTTTAGCAATATTCCAGCAATATCACGGCGGGGGACACCAGAAATGGGCTTAACACATTGTACCCATGTGGGGAATCGAGCCCGGGTCTTCGGCGTGACGAGCGAACGCCTTAACCACTAGGCTACCCCACCGCCCCCTTTGATATGAGCCCAACAGACAAGTGGTTGAAACTTTGAGTGAGTTGGGTGGAATGCCACTTTGAAAAGTGTCAGCTGAGTGAGTGAGCGAGTTGAGTTTTATGCCACACTCAGCAATATTCCACCTATATGCCAGCAGTCTGTAAATAATAGTATCTGAACCAGACAATCCAGTGATTAACAGCATGAGCATTGATCTACGCAATTAGGATATGATGACATGTGTCAATCAAGTCAGTGAGCTTGACCGCCTGATCGCCTCTTACAAGCATGGGTTACTGAAGATCGATTCTAACCCAGATCTTCACAGGTCAGTGTGTGAGTATTACACAGCTTTTAGCAATATCAGACATCATATTGTGGTGCTTCGAGATGACACGTAACCAGCCATGTAATACCCGGTTATCCATCGTAACCACCTTATCTTCATATGATTTCACTACTACAAGCACAGGGTACTGCACACAGAATGAACACCAGAAAAAGCGAGGTTTTTTTTACTTTTCCCAAGTTACCAAGCAGCCAGATGGCATCTCATATCTATCCAATGATAACTATTTGTACACAGTCCTCAGATAATGCCACTTTGTGGGGTTTATTAGGCCAGCAAAGTCTTAAATCACTGAGGATATTTCAATCATTTTCAACCCATGCCTGAAAATTTACACCTTTTACCAATCTAGTCTCACATGGCAGCATTTGACGTCTGCTAACCACTTTAAGGACTAACAATATGTCAACAGAATTTACAGTTATGCAGTGGACATTTAACTTATTTTCAGTTATTATGTGAAATGTTTGGTAGGCCTGATCTGTCATTTGCTATAATACAAATTGGTTGTCTGCTGCCCGGTCACTCTGATCTATCCTCGCTGTAGTACTGGTAAAACAGACCTTCTTCCTTTTGACTTCACCTTCCTTACAAAAACCCATTACACTTTTCCCCAGGTGTTATTGCTGCGCAGTCACAAAAATAGTTCCCGGTGGATCTGGCAGAGAACTCTAACTGTGGAAGTAGCAGCTGCTCTCAGAAGCCAATACAAGAATTGTGCAGGGAACCTAATTATACTCCCAATTATAAAAGAAACCTGCAAACTGTACATAAAATACAAACAAGAAACCTTACAACCAAAAACGAATCCTATCCCTACCCTGAATAACCATTGAAAAGAAATTGAGACTGTGTAAAGACTTTTCACTTGCACGAAATGCCAAAAGACAACACTTTAGGTTCAATATTTTGTTAGTTATAGCAACATTGAATAAACACTTAAATTTCTGTCAGTCAAATTCAATAGACATGAATAAAACTACTGTTAAATAAGCAAGTTTCATTCGAATGTTTGCCAATGAGGGGTCACATCACAGCATCTACTTCAGTAGGTGATCACAGACTGGACACAGTTGTTCTATTTTATTGAAATATGAATATTTTATGGCATTGTAGGAGTAGTCAGAGTTCAGATAAAATAACAAAAAATGAATATGAGCATGCTGCAGGGTTTTTAGTGTTTTTTCGTTCTCATCTCCATCTTGTTGAGGCCAGAAGTCTGGCCAAGGCTACAACACAACTTTCAACCTTAGTTGGTCAAAACCTTCTTTCATATGCAGTACTGCCTCATCGTCCAGTTACATAC